TTGGCTGTAGCAGGAGGCAGTTTGTTTGCTGAAGGGCTGGACAGTAATAGAGTAATAAGTGCCTGCAGGCAACAATGAAGCCTGGTGGAGGTTCCTTGCAATTTTGGGGCTTCATTTCTGCAAATGGAGTTGGGGATTTGGCCAGGATCTATGGTATCCTCAATGCTGAGAAATACAGGCAGATATTTATCCATAATGCCATACCATTGGGGAGGAGTGTGATTGGCCCCAAACACACTGCCAATATTATTAAGAACTATCTTCAGTATAAAGAACAAGAAGTCCTGGAAGTGATGGTTTGGTCCCACAGATCCCTGATCTCAACATTATCAAGTCTGTTTGGGATTACATGAAGAGACAGAAAGGATTTGAGGCAGCCTACATCCACAGAAGATCTGTGGTTAGTTCTCCAAGATGTTTGGAACAACCATGCAGGAACATTGCCAAGTTCTTTCAAAAACAGTGTGCAAGTGTATTGAGAAGAATTGATGCCATTTTGAAGGCACAGGGTGGTCACACCAAATATTGATTTGATTTGAATTTTATCTTCTGTTCATTTACTTTCCATTTTAATTAATAAAAATAAACTATTAACACTTTTATTTCTGAAAGCGTTCTTAATTTACAACATTTTTGCACAGTACTTGTATGTGGCATTTTTTATTTCTTAAGTGAAAGACTTTGCACTTATCTCTGCTGAATTTCATTCTGCTCCTTCCAGCCTATTTTGTATGTCAATTTTGAATTTTATATATCAGTATCATTTTAAATTTACAAAGTTATTACCATGGTGATCCTAGCTAATGTTGTAATAGGACCTGCCATTCATGTAAATCAGGGGTGTCAAACTGCCGGCCCACGAGCCGGTTTCATCATACCGAAGCCACGCCCACCCCAATGCCGGCAATGCAAAAAGAGTCGTGATATGTCATGACACATCACGTGACACGTTTGACACCCGTGATGTAGATGCTTAACTAGAAACCGTTAACCTGGAGCTTAGACCTGTTCACAGATCTTGAATTAAGGACTGGCAGGATGCAGTGAAATTACCTTGGAACAAAAAAATTCTTGGTCAATTTTTCTTATTGACTTAGTTTCTGCAGCATCGAAGTTATAATAAGAATGGATCTACTTTCAACAGTGTGTAGTATATAGGATCTAATGGAATTTGTAGCCTGGAATCCTACCAGTATAATTTCATTAACTACATTCTGGGATATTTCTACAAGGCTAGAATAGAACTGCAGAACCAACTTTATATGGAGGACTTGTCACCTCTCTTTTGTTCTTTCTTATACTGAAGTGATAAGCATTTTCTTGTAGACCTGATGGCTTGGATCCTAATGTGAAGTAAAAAGGAGGAAGTTCATCTCCTTTTCTAGTGGTTCCCATGCATTACTCTGATGCTGTTGCTAGAGATTCTTGTGCATATGCGTATATATATTCATAAGCCAAAGAGATGGAAGTTTTAAACCCGGTGCAATGCAAACCACATTTAATTTTTACTGTGTTCATTTTGCACTTTGGGAAATAGAAATAGTAAAAGAAAACTAATTCAGCTTCATTTTCTATATTAACAAGCAATGGGAAGAATTAACTCAGACAAATAATATTCAGAGAAACAATTTATTTTTTACACACAACCAGAAAGCATGGAGAAAGTAGTTCAATTCCACACAGAGAAAATGGTCTTAGTTTACATGCTAACATCATAGCACAAGGTTGTGCAATTTTTTAAAGCTGGAGAAGCAATTGCAAAGAGGTTATATCCTTCAATGAGCTTAAAGGGGTTGTAGTTAGTGATGGATGTAACTAGAATGGAGGTGTGTGTACTAGGATTTAAAGGGTGAAACTGATAGCGTCTTGCAGGAGAGTACATCTGTTGTGCTCAATTGTTATATTTATCTTAATTGGAGGAAGGCTATGATTTAAAAGGTCTCCATAGGGCCTTTAGTCTACAAATCTGAGGCATCTGTTCAAACAATCAAACCCATGCGGCATCCTGGTTAAGTTGATCTAATCAAATCCAACCTTAGCTGTGAAGGCCCAATAGGTGACCTTGAGCACATCCTTCTCCCTTAGCCTAACATATTTCGCAAGGTTGCAGACTACTATACATGTCACTTTAAGCTTGTAAAGGAAAGATGGGCTATACCTCTGGTAATAATAGGAATACATCCAAAATGTTCAACTCTACCCACTGTGGATATCAGGCATGGTATGGTCTGAGAATGCCCATCCTTGTCCTACTTAACATTTCTAATCCTAAAGACAGAAAAGGCTAAAACTCTCAAATTCAAATATGGATGAAATGACACTGTACTGAAATATCAAAGCTGTGAACAATAGTTTTACGAGGCCAAGAGAAAATTAATTTCTAATGAAAAGCCAGTGGTCAAAAGTTTTATAGACCACAGAGGAAAGGCAGCTTACCTGCTGCCAAAGCCAGCATGCCAAGGGATTTCTGTACAGAAAAATACTGCTTGTAATATTTGGGACTTACTTCAGTATTTATGAATGGCAACATATTGTAAGTTTATGTAGACATCATCCAAAAGGCTATTATCCAGAAAGTGTTCTAGGAAATAAAACTGATGGCATTAGGACAATAAAAGAAAAAACTAATCTAATACGAGAGCACACAACCCCAAATAATTTAGATTTAGAAAGAATGAATAGTTCCTATTAGTCTCAATCAGCTCTTAGATTGGTGGACTCATTCATTATTTGACTGCTAAAAGCTATTTGATGAGCATTCAACAGCTAATAGTTGCATTACTTTCCCCAACAGTTTTCAGCACCCCAATTCAAATTGCTGAAATCTTGATTGCATACCTTTCTTCTATGAATGGGGAGAATTTCAAACTTTTCTTCTTGATGTAGCTTCCAGTTGTATGTGATTAGGATTGGCTGACAGTTGCAGACATTTTGTTGAGATAAAATCTCCCGATGGACAAGAGGAAACCCTAAAATTTATGGCTACTAACACTGCTTTTTCACTTTCTAACACTACTGACTTTATTTACTTCACTTTGCCTTGCATATATGTGTTTTTTTCTCTCTGTTTGTATGGCCGGAGAGGAGCATAACATTTGTTGCCATATGCTCATGGCAGTCATTACCTTACATTCTGTTTCTGTTTCTATAGATACGGTACTGGTTGAATGGCTGTTCAGATGCTCTGCATGTAAGAGAAGCCAAAATGCAGGGTGGAAAATTAACATTTTAAATGACACGGTAACTCATGTACTCTTATTTATTGAGTTTTCCATGAGATTTGTGGACTAAGAGCTTGCCGCAGCTGCGAGGATCAATCTTGTATTTAATTCCTATGAAGTCTAAAGAAAAGCTGTTTTTTGCTTCTCTTTGCAGTTCAACTTACAGACTTTATGTCCTCAAATTGAAAGAAACATTACAAAATGGAATCTGCTGTATGATTACTCCTCAGATATAAGTAGTTACAACTTAACTAACCATTGCCATAATGCTGTTTAAAGGTATTTGTTTCAACATTGGAATGTATCAGATGTTAAAGCAATAAAGCATGTACAGTAAGTCTGCTTAGTAATGAGGAAAGGAAACAGCAGAATATAGTTCTCTGCAGCTACTGTATATTTCTGCAATACAGAAGATATGTGAGCTATATGATCATATATTTTGATCGTGCCCCTAGATTATATAGTTGTACAAAAACTCAGTTGCAGTATAGTTTAATTGCAGAATGCCTGTTTATTCAGGAAGTCTATGAAATTTACTTCTCAAGAAGCATCTTTTATATTGCTGAGAATAGAAAATGTCCAATTTTTGCCATGATATATTTATGTCACCAAGAAGCCAGAGGAACCTTTTTTAACCTTTTTGTGGTTAAAAAAGGAACTTGTCTTAATTTCCACTATGCTAAAGTTTGTTTTTCCACACCAAATAATCTATGAATTTTTACCTGGTCTTTTTAGAAAAGATGAAAGAAAACATCTTGTAACTAGGCAACTGAGAACATAATTTACTTTTCCTTTAGTCCTGAAAAAAATGGTAAGGTTGTGTCCTCAGCAATGCAAGAATTTGCAGGAGTGGGAGTGCTATAATGCTCTGAAAGTCTTAATAATAATTAGTCTATTCCATTTTGAAACGGAGCCCAACTGTTTTTCTCTTCTGCTCTAGAAATTGTTAGCTGTTGGCTTTCTGGGTAAAACTTTGGATTATTCCCTCACTGATTTCCACCCCCACAATCCTCTACTGAGCTTGTTTTATTACAAAATGTATTTTTCCTGAAAACAACGGAGAATAGATTCTAACTACAGTTAAGAAGAAAAAAATGCAGTCATTAAATAGATTCTTTTTCTATAAAGGCTCAATCTAGCTAATATTAAATTAATTGAAAAAGACCTGGGTAGGACCTCTGAAAGCATATCTTATGGCATTGTACAGTAAAATAACCTACACCATATCTCCATTTAATGTATGCTTTATCTCGATTTAATTATAAGAAACTAATTTCTAACACTCAAAAACTTTTGTTTGATTCATCTCTCTATAATATACAATAGTGAATACAGTTAATAAGAGGATAGAACTTTAAGTATTTTACTGAAATGAACTGCAGTTTCACTCAAAACAATACTATAAGAAGGCAGAAACTAAATACATTAAGAAACTGCACTGTGAGGCTATTTTAGTGCTCTAATAATGGGTCACCTGATTTCCATTGTGTAACAGTATTACATGGATATTAGAGCGTTGCAATACTTGTACTTATTAAAATGTGCCTATCCTGATTTGAATTCCTGTCGCTCCAATGAAAGTCTGTTGCTGAGTCTTCTACTATCAAGCCATTTGGCTCTATAAGCCTTCTATAATTCCATTGCTGTTTCCTCAATTCTTATAATGGGAAGGTGAAAGTGCAGATTTTGAATTGTATAAAATAATTGAAATTAAACCTATTTTGTACTAGTCACAAACACTCTTGTGCACATAGAAGTCATGATGAAATCACAGGGTAATTCTTTGATTATATGCTGTTTATTTTCAGTGAAACCAAAGTATGCTACTGATGTTATCACAGAACATCTTCACATTTGATGCAAATATGAAAGAATTATATACAGAGTAATTAAGTGGCACTATTTTAAAAGAAATAATCTCAGCCTCTAAAATTATATTAAGTAAAACATATCATATGCATAACTTGTGTAAGCTCCAACTGCACTGCAGCTGCATTACTTTGACTATAAGTGCCACATTAATGATCATTTTTCAAGACAAACTGAATAATTACCATGACACATTAGTTAAGAGCAATAAGTTTACGGCAGAAAACTAGTGCAACCTTTTTGTTTTTCAGTCTGTTATTCTTATTATAATTCTAAACCATTTTGTAAGCTCGTATATTCTTGCAAATGTGTGTGTTGGAATTTCTACATGTTTTTGTGTATGGGTGTACAGTATGCCACATACACATGCGCACACACAAAACCAATTTCATGTTATCATTAAATAAAAGAACTTTACAGTACAATGTGATGGGCTAAATTCTTGTTCAGGTATTCCTTTATTGTGTTCCCGAGGCACTCTGGACTGTAGTATAATCCTGGTCGGACAAGAAGGTGAATATGGGAGCGGCTGTCTCCGAAAGCCCAGGGGCAAGCACATGGCGGCACACAGGACATGTTCCAGACTAGCCAAGAGAAAACATCACAGTTTAAATACAATTCAGGTCAGGAATTCAAGAGTAGTCAAATGTACAGTCTCGAAATATATTTAGGGAAAAACTGCAAATTAGAGAAAGCAAAAAAAGCTAAAAAGACGTAGGTTCACATCTTTATGTTGCCTCCTTTAAAATGCTCATGTCAGCTTCATAATGGTTTCTACTTTTTTATAGTATTAATTTTAATTACATACAAGAGAATGAGTGTTATGTGAGATTGTTATTCAATCACTAAGCCACGTCCGACTCTTCGTGACCCCATGGACAGGGGAGCTTGCCAGTCTCCCCTGTCCTCTATTTCCTCCTAGACAATTCATGTTCATTGCGTCAATGACACTAAGTCATCTCATCTTCTGCCATCCCCTTCTCCTTTTGCTTTCAATGTTGTATGATATACAGAACCCCAATATCATTGGATATTTTAATAAAGTTCTTAGTATTAGACACTACATAAGAGCCACGTGTTTAACATATACCATATATTATCCTAGGAAGCAGGCAAGTACACTTCAATTAAATTCAGATATTTTCCGATCAAATGGCAATCTCTATGTGAAATCTAATTCATTTCCCCATAGCTCTTTAAATATATATATATAAGTCCATGGAATGAGATTAATTCACAACTGATAAGCACAGCAGGGATTTTTGTAATTTTTATGTTCATGAGATAATCCAGCCACCTTGCCCATTATAAAAGACTTAACACACAGTTAAAACAATTGGCTAAATTATGGCTTATTAAAATAAAACTCCTCAGAAGTGCTGTGAGATCTGGAAGAGACTGTAAATTCTCTACACTGGGTAACTATCAATTTGAAACTATTTACTAGGAAGTCTGAGTGTTCTTAACAGTATTCACTTATTAGGGCATATGAAGATCTATTTAATTGCCTGGTACTTAATGGAAATTTCCGTCTCTTTCATAGTGATCCGTAGCAGGGAATCTTAAACCTTTGAGAAATCATTTAACTTTTCAAGGATACTGCTTTGCTCATAAAACTTGTTTTGCAAAGCACCTTTTCAAATGCTTTGCCCAAGCCTAGAAAATATTAAATTTATTTTTAATGTTTTAAAATTTTATTTATTTGTAACCTGCTTAATTTTTTACAAATAATTCAAGGCAGCCAATGTATCTAACACACCTTTCTCCTCCTATTTTCCCCACAATAGCAACCTTGTGAGGTACCATACCAATACAGCTAATCACAGTCAAGCACATCAATATGGAGTGCTACTGTTGATGTGTTTCCAACCAAGATTGAACTGAATTAAATCACTGATCTTAAGCAGTAAAATAAATGGATATTTCTCAGTGCCTTAAGGCTATACGGATATAAAAGAGATGAACCGGGTTCAGTTCAACCCTGACAAGACTCAATGACTGGGTTTTGCCCCATCTTTCCCCATCCAGTGATTTGCCATCTTTAACTCTGCCTGGAATTACAATTGCACTCCACCAGTAGAGATGGTGCACAGTCTGAAGGTTTTCCTGGGCTTAACTGTGGCTAGGAGAGCCTTTGCCCAAATACAATTAATCAGTGAACAACCTGTCTCCAGAAGCTATGAATGCTCCAACACTGGAAGATTTTAAGGAGACTGGACAGCCATTTGTCTGAAATGGTATAGGATTTCCTGCCTGAGCAGGGGGTTGGATTAGATGGCCTCCAAGGTCCCTTCCAACGTTATTATTATTAGTATTATTATTATATCTTAGATCAGGAAGCATTGCTTACAGTCACTCATGCCTTAGTCAACTAGACTACTGCAAATGCTGCATGTGAGAATGTCCTTGAAAGCATTTAGAAGATACAGATGCTCTAAAATGCAGTAGCTTGGGCAGTGGTGATCATATTGGAGTATTCTTTGATGAGTGGCACTGGCTTCTGGTAAGCTTCTGAATGTAATTCAAAGTGCTGGCTATAATCTTTCAAGTGCTACATGGCACAGGGTCAGGTTACATATGCAATTGCCTACCCCTAATGGATAGGGTAGGCATGCAACAAATTCCCTTATGAAACTGTCACTTGTGGAAACTTCGAAGCATGTCTTTTCTGTCACAGCCTGTCTTAGAGGTATGGATGATTCCAACTCTGTTGGCTTCCCAGAAAACAGTGAAGACCTGGGGCCAGGATGTGGATGGGATCAGCAGAGTACGGTTGATTGATGGATGCAAATTTTATCAGGGCCTCAACATTGGGTTTTTTTGGTTGTTTGTCTAAAATATTTTTGTTCTAATTGTATTGTATTTTTTATTATTGTGGGCCACCCAAAGTTCTTTGTGATAGATAGGTGGCCATAAAAGAAAGAAAGAAAGAAAGAAAGAAAGAAAGAAAGAAAGAAAGAAAGGAAGGAAGGAAGGAAGGAAGGAAGGAAGGAAGGAAGGAAGGAAGGAAGGAAGGAAGGAAGGAAGGAAGGAAGGAAGGAAGGAAGGAAGATAGATATAGACTGACAGATAGACAGACATAAATGATAGAGATATAGCCATAATTTTTTTAAAAAAATCCTAAAGCAACATTAAAGTATTAACATAATACACACCTTTTGTAACCAAAGTGTTATGCATGTCACGTGAAAGAAGTGGCGACATGGAAGCTCTGTTACAATTTCTTCTTTGATGTACTCACTACAGCAAATAGCACAACACTGCTCTTGCCCTACAGCTTAGGAAAAAAATGTGCATATTACTATACAAATGTAGAACTAGGTTATTAAAAATTATGGTGAGATAGTTATTAATAAATTAAAATAGTTTTGGACCAAATTAAGTTATAAACAATAAATAACATAATATCATACTATTAGATTATATAAAGTTATTTGACCAGAACAGTGAGTATGTCATTTATCCTTACCATTGTGATCTTCTGTAATAATACTTTGTGGCAGACAATCTATGCTCTCTTTACTAGCTGGTGGATGAGCCTGCTCAACATCAATTGCAAGAGACTCTAGATGTGCCAGAGCAGTCTAGAAAAATACATGAAAGAAAACAAGCACATATATAAATATATAAAATATACATGACGTTAACAAAGTTCTATAGTAAAAATTCATTAAATTATGAGAAATTATAGTATAAACTTTGTTAATTAACTTGAGTGTATTTTATTAAGGTGGGTAACTATTTGTCTATTCCAACTTCAATTGCTTTAGTAACAGTGTGACATTGTCATGAATTATGGCATTTTTTTTCAATTACTTGTAGTTGTAACTTGAAATTGGACCATAAAAATAGTGGCTTCAATAATCCAACACTAAGGAGGTATATATAAATAATGTCATCTTTTTAAATGCCACATATAGAGACATTTCTCTTTCAGTTTTTTACATTTTTAAGTAACAACCGTCTCTCCTAATGCATGCTTTATTGCTCATTAAGTCAAATCTTTATTTCAGTCATTGATCAGTGTAATTATTGCTCAGGAGAAAAGCACAGTCCACCATGAATGCTTATGTGAATAGTATAGTTAAGCAGCCACTACTATCTAGCTCAGGGGTGTCAAACTCGCAACGTCATGTGACGTGTCGCGGAGTATTGTGACTTTTTGTCCATTGCCGGCAATGGGGTAGGTGTGGTTTCGGCATGACGCATCCGGCCCTGAGGCCGGCAGTTTGACACCCCTGATCTATTCATAACTTTTCAGAAAATCTTATTAAAATATCTATGGAGAGAATGACCACCGGCAAGCTGATAGCCAAGGCAAACCTATGCAGAATTACTGTCTATGAAATAAAGAGCAATTCCATATATTTGGGATAGAATATTTTGCATTTTCTCAAATTGCAAGCATAATTTCCACACTAGTTAGAATTATGGAATTCTAGTTCAACATATTTGAAAGACAGCAAGTTGGAGAAGGCTTGATTTTCATCTTGTTTCCACTAGTTACAATTTCAATCAAATTTTCATTTATTAGACCGCAAGTTTATACTATATGAACAGATTGCCAAACTTGGTGAACAGATGCCAATTTATATTCAATAATGGATCAGAGAGCATAGGGAATGGCTAGTAAATTTATTCTATGTCTCTGAGAAGATACTGGGATGATATTCTATCCATTAATTAAAAAGCACTTGGCAGTTCTTAAGAATATATATACATGAACGGTGTAGTTTAAGACTTGTGGACTTCAACTCCGAGAACTCCTCAGCTGGCTGTACCAAGCCAAATTCTAAGGTTTTTGTTCTTAGAAGAATTATAATCAATTCTGACAATATAATTAATGATCCGTTCTTCCATAAGCTCCATTTATTCATTTATGGCCTTTTTCATAATTGACTTTTTTACATCACTTTGTCAATGGCATAAATATAAACATAAATACATAATAGCCCTATATAATGTCATTGAGATAAATTTGAATTTAATGGATTTTTGGATTTAACACACATCGTTTCCCCCATCTGTTAATTCAAGGTTTTACTGTATTTCATTAAATTTGTTCAAACATCTGGCAGAATCTCACTTTGCTGGGTTAATAAATTAAAATAAATAATTATTGTAGTTATCTAAGCATTTAATAAAACATTCTTTGCCTATCTAATGAAAGTCCCTTTATAGGAACATTTTCAAAGTTCAGATAACTTAGTAATTAAATAAGAAAGTTACTACTTGAATTCATTTCGCTTGAGGTAATCTAGAATGAAACACTTTATGCCTCTCAATTCATATTAGTTGGTTACCATTGCACAGAAAATCTAAACTGATAACCTCCATGATTTTTAAACAAGATACATGAAAATATAGTGAATTCAGAACTCCAATTTCCTATCATAGAATTTTAAAGATATATTTTGTTGCCACTCTTTTGATGGCAGCTTATAAACGTGATTGTTTACAATGAAAGCAACACATTCAAAACCATCATAGCATAGTACATAAGATGACTGGGACAGCAGCTTCTGTTTAAAAAAACCAATGAAATAAAAATGATATTTACTATAATATCTTAGTATACATATATCATTTGCTTCTTTGCCCATGCACACAACAAATGAACAAATAATCAAATAAAAAACAAGAGCTAGATTACCAAGAGTCTAGCTTGTAAAACTAGGAAACCCTCATACAAAAATCTAATAAAGTAAGTTTGAATATTGTTCAGAGTGAGAAAGTACACACTTTGAAAATGTAATCTTCTAAGCACTTTCGAATTACATTTTCTTAATCTTTATGACAAGTGTAATAAATTAAACTAAGCTATACTCTAACATTTACATTCAATTTGGCTTTGTAGTTTGTATATGGCAAACTCAGATAAAAACCACAACCCAACAGTGTTAGATAACACTGTTACTTCATTGCTAAGATTATTAATCAAACAAATCTTTGATATTATGCTTCCATACGTTGCACAGTAAGAATTTAAACAGTGCCATGTACTGTTTTTATATAGTTGGGCCAATGTTTCTGTTTCCAGTTAGACATGCCTTGTTTTTCATTTGCCTGATTCTTCTGCCTTCTGCACAAAATGAAAAGAAACTGATAAATATTTAAATGCCCTTGTGCACACAACACTGATGTAGACACAATCATGGGAAAGTGAATACATAAAAAGAATTGAGAAACTAGTTGCAGTTCGAAACTTCTGGAGGTAGGTTGTTCCGCTGATTAATTGTTCTGTCAGGAAATTTCTCTTTAGTTCTAGGTTGCTTCTCTCTTTGGTTAGTTTCCATCCATTGCTTCTTGTCCTGCCTTCAGATGCTTTGGAGAATAGCTTGATTCCCTCTTCTTTATGGCAACCCCTGAGATATTGGAACACTGCTATCATGTCACCCCTAATCCTTCTCTTCATTAAACTAGACATACCCAATTCTAGCAATCATTCTTTGTATGTTTTAGCCTCCAGTCCCCTAATCATCTTTGTTGCTCTTCTATGTACTCTTTTCTAGTGTCTCATCATCTTTTTTACATCGTGGTGACCAAAACTGGATGTAGTATTCCAAGTGTGGCCTTACCAAGGGGTTATAAAGTGGTATTAGCGCACACACACACACACAGAGAGAGAGAGAGAGAGAGAGAGAGAGAGAGAGAGAGAAAAGCAAAAACTATGGATTATTTGGACAATTCTCTTCCTTCCTCACCGACCGTACGCAGTCTGTATTGGCAGGGGGACAGAGGTCGACCCCAAGACCCCTAACTTGTGGGGTTCCACAAGGGTCGGTCCTCTCTCCACTTCTGTTCAATATTTATGTGAAGCCGCTGGGGGAGATCATCCGTGGCTTCGGGGTGGATTTCCATCAGTACGCTGATGACACTCAGCTGT